TCTTTCATACTCCTTATTCTGAGGATTCTTGTGAAATCTAACGAGGGGATTCTCCTTAGGCTAGAGTACCCAGAGTCCCAGCGGGGAATAGCCTAGTACCACACCAACAGGCCATGGGATGAAGGACTTACTCAGAAACAAACTTCACTCAGTGGAAACTTGATCTGGCATCACACACAGACCAACAGAGAGATGTTTCAACGTGTTATTTACCAAGTAACCACCATGCCCCGGGTGTGTATTCAGGACTGAGGAAATGTATACTACTCCAGAAACCAGCATACATGGGCTGGTCTGATAAAAATCATTGATTTGGATGCATGCCCCTTTAAGGACATGCACTCAGAGGCAGGAGTCTATGCAGCAGACACTGCCCACTGTGAACAGAAGCTTCTTGAGCAAGACTGAGAGTAACAATGTACAGGGAGAAGCGTAAATACTCAGAAGGCGATAGCCGCTGGTTGGCTGGCCATGCACCTGTCAATTACCTCCCGCCCATCCTCCTTTGAGCATCCCCAATGAAATGCGTGGGTTCCCCAGAAATGGGGTTAACTGGTTAGAGAAGTAGACCAGCAGGAGTGGGGTTGGGGAATAGGGTGAGCACAATCAGAAGAGATGGCATACTTGAATGACAAAGTCACAATGAATCCCATCATTGTACTTAATTAATATGACCAGTAACAACTAACTGTGGAGATGGGCCCAAGCCCAACCCCAAGCCTGGGGTTGTTTAGTCTCTCCTAGAGAGTGGGCGGGATGGCCAAACTGAAGACAGCCACAAGGCAACTGTCTGTGTGGGAAGGGGATAAGCAGAAGAAGGGGCAGCGAGGCTAAGGGTTGGGAGAGTTTCTGTGCTTGGCACAAGGCTGTCGATACCAGGCTGAATTACTACAGACGGTGGGGAAGCAGAACAATGCCTCCCACACCCATGTGAGAAGTTTGCAGCAAGCGCCAAGATGCCTGTATTATCTGTCTTTGGCTGCCATAACTGGGTAGTAAGTTTTCTCTTCATAGCTCTGGAGGCTGAGCTGTCCTGGAGTACACGACACGACCTCCTCTGCTTGCAGACGGCCTATTTCTGTCTCTTTCCTCATAGCCTTTCCTCTGGGCCCTCATACAAGCCTACTAGCCTGCTGAACTGGAGATCAGTCCTTAGAGCTCTGTTTAGTTTTAGCTGTCACTTTATACATCATCTCCAATTATGGCCAAGGGGTAGGAAACGCACAGCTTCAGTGTGTGAAGTCCAGGACAGAGCTCAGCTCAGGACACATGTCCCCCTCGACTCTACAATTGGCGACTTTCTCAAGCAAAGTGCGAACACCAATACCCCAACGGCCTAGTGGAAAGTCTCAGCCTGTCCTTCCGACAACGTTAAAAGATAAAGTAACAACACAACATACTGGAGGTTGGAGAGATAGCAGATGATTCACAAAAGTAACACACCATGTCTTGTCTAGTCCTATTTTACACAAATTCTGAGCTTGACATTTGATATCATGGTAACCAGTATTTTAGCAGAGATGCTTCTAGGAGGCCTGTACCCACAGTCTGAGAAATCCCAGGCGAACCTATCTGGGAATGAGAGAAACGTGGTCAAGTGATCCCAAATACTCCGGCTTATTAAAGGTGTGAGAATGGGGATTTCCCAGGTTTCTGAGACCCACAGAACTGCAAGGTGACTGTAGAAATCATACAAGATACTCCTAACCAGGAGGATGATTCAGTTAATCTAGACGTCTCTGAGAGGTGTGAGACAGTTGCTTTTATATCGGTAATATATTCACCAAATTCCAACCAACACAACCACAATTCCCAACAACAGGAGAAGACGTTAAAGACAAGGTTGATGATATAGAGGAAGTATGCATCACATATAAAGAGAGATGAAAAAAGGTGATGTACAATTATATAAAGGACAGAAACGGTCCACACACCTCTAACCTGAAGTTGGTAGAGGAGACAGCATATGCAGAGATTATCGTTGATGACTTCCCAGAAACACAGGAGAGTACTAATCCTCAAGGGACAGAATGGCATCAACGCCTACATACCTAATGGTTAAAATCAAGAACACCAAAGGTAACACAATTTGAGAGTTTCCCCAAGGCCCCATATGTTTAATTCGATCCTCGTTGTGTTAAAAGGGACGAAACTGAACTGCACTTTGGCGTACAGAGGCAGGGCCTTTGGAAAGTCGTTAGGGATGTTCTTGATTTTAACCGTTAGGTATGTAGGAGACAAGGCAGGGGACCTGGGTGTCCCATCTTTATCCCTGCTATGGCTGACATTTCTACTACATCTGAATGTGAGACAGAAACAAAGCGAACTTTGGGTAGAATATTTTAATGTATTTGAGTTGACTTGAGCGTCAAAGAGAAGCAAATTTTTGGGAGAAAAAAAAAATCTGAGGTCGAAACCCTGAAGTTACAAAAAGAGCAATTATTTGCAGCAACCAAGAAACATACTCCAGTGGTGGACGCACATTCTGAAGAACTCCAGAGCAAGGCTCCCATCTCATGTGGACTAAACAACTGGCAGAACTCTCAAGAACTTGATTCCCGTCAAAGAGTTAGACTTTCCTCAATAAGCAGTAAGTGATACCACACAGCTTCATTTTTCCTCTAACTTTTGGTACAAAACAGAAATTTTAGAATTTTAACAAATGAAAAAAGAACTAGATATAGATAGGTAGATAGATACATACATAGATAGATACATAGCTATATAGATATAGATGTGTGTATTGGTGAAATGTCTTCCTCCACAGAGACATTCTAAACCTCCAAGAATCAGATCCGATGAAAACACATGAACACCTGGGCAGTACTTTCTCTTCTGAAACTTACTATGTAATAAAGGTAACCATGAATCTCTACCAAATTTACCTTTACTTTGAATGCCTTGACTGTGTCTCTCATGGCCAAAGCACTTGTGGATTGAAAATTAATTTAACTCTTCTCGCTAGCAATCAGTGGAGAGGAGCGGGCAGAGAGGGCTCTGTGGACGCATGCGCAGCCAAGGTGATGGGAACAGGACCTCGGCTAGGCAGAGGGTGATAGATACTCCAGTAGGAAGGGTGTGGGTATTGATTGACACTTGTGTGGCCCAGTGGCAGGGTTTCCCCTGACTCTCCCTTTACCATGGGTCTTTGTGCACTGCGCATTTCTGTTTGCATGTCATAAAGTTTTCCGAAGTTGGCATCGCGCCGCAGGATTTTCTGCTTCCTTTCTGTTCGTAGTGCTTGTGCGACACAGACGGCGCTTCTGCGTTAGTTTGACTACACTTGCCGGGCTCCATCCACAGCAGGGACGCAGCTTTCGTCTCTGCAGTATGTTGTCCTGGGAGTGAATGCTTGCAAATTTTAGTGCCAGCTAAGTGTGTCCAGGCTCACGTCTCCCTAGGCTTAGACCCATATTCCTATCAAGGGGGTGACTTGGAAGTGCAGGGACGACGTTCCTTGTATTAATACTCAGTGACACTGGGGACTTGGATCCCTGCAAATATGAGGTCTGATACCATTTCCAAGTACCAATGAAATCAGGCACCTTTTCACTTTTCCGTGTGAGCTCTGTGTTTAACGCCTTGCTTCCCCGTGCTCTCTAACAGCCCTGCTAGTCCCAAGACTATGGACGTTATTAGGTTTAAGTTTCATGGTATCTATGTTTACCAATGTCTATTAACACCCCAAAATGACAGCAAAGCATTTTAGTTGTACATTACCAAATTTGAAATCACCTGCATAGATGGTTGCTATTGGGTTTTGTGTAAATCTTTGTAATTCATGTCGCAATCTATGGTTAAGGAGAGAACACTGATAAATGATACTGCGGTTTTTCAGTGACGCGGAATTGCTGTTTTGGGACACACACAAAAAAAAATAATAATTCAACCGCCAAAAAAAAAAAACTTGAATTTAAAAGAGGTATTAGTATTTGTGGAAAACAGCTTTATTGTGTAGATGGGCATTCATGAAAACCAAACCCTTTGCTGTGTTGCTTTTCTTCTCAAGTCCTCCCTCCTTGTGTGGGGGAACCCACTCAAGCTCCAGAACGCACCAGCTCACATCTGCTCTGAGGGGGGGGGGGAAGGGGGACAAGTCTCTCACCCCAAAATCTCTCTTTTGGGAGTTCTGGGGCCTGAAAAGATTCGCGTTAACTCTGTCCCCTCAAAACTGCCCCGCCCATCTCCACGTCTAGCTCCTTTCCATTCTCCCTGCTTTTAACGACTTCACGCTTTATGTTTTCACCGAAACACAGCTCCAAGAAACCAGGACTCTTGAATCTTCCAAATCCACAGAGCAGCAGCAAGACGTGGTCGGTACACGATAAACGCAACCTGGTCTGGTTTTTGAAGGCGCCTATTTTAGATATGTTAGTCCATTCAATGCTAAGAGAGCCTGTCAGTTAAGTCGAGATGATGCACAGAACTTTTATGGCTGTAGCAACTCACCTTCTGTAGTCTGTGCTGTAGATGCAAGTTTTTCAGTTTAAGGTGGTTTTCCGTACAACTGACTGATGGCGTTGTGAATTACAGACACCATGTGTTCTGTATACGGCAACAAGTGAGCGGAAATACAGTTGGCACCGCCATTAGCCAGATAGCCAACAGTGACACCTTGATTTTCCCCTTTCACTGTTTAAAGGGAGTTTCTGTAAAGCCAGAATGTTACGATCCAATCGTGTTCCCTTGCTCAGTTATCGATCCTGTTACTTAGAACTGACATCTGGAGCGATCTGAGTTACAAGTAAGAGAGCTTTTTACATTTTTTCACTTTGCTAAAAAAAAAAAAAAAAAAAAAAAAATCATTTCCCCCAAAGTCTATAAAATGTTAATTTATGTTAATTTGTCTTTAAATTTCACTGTTTCTGATATCTGTTGTCTTAAACCAAGTGACTTAGGGCCTGTGTTGTTCACCAGACCTGGCACTGACGTGGCACAGAAGGTTCTAATTTCCTTTTTATTTATTTTCTAGTTTGCTTTTTTTCCCCATAGTTTTTTTTCTGATGTCTAGACAATTTTCTTCTTCAGTGAAGCAGTTTCATGCCTTCTCCTGCTCAACTTTAAGCAGTTGGAACCCCAGCGACACTTCCCAGTGCCTGCTGGGGAGACTCTTTGGCTTGGTGAGCTTGTAGCACAGCTATGGCTTCATCGATTTTGGTGTGGAGACACTCTGGAGACTCGAGCATGTGGCGTAGTTCTAAGTTATCAATCTCCAACAGCATGCCCGTGATTTTACCAGCCAGGGCAGGGTGCATGGCTTGAATAAGGGAAAACAGCCACTCCCCTAACATTTGCTTCTGTGCTTGGGGAGAAGCAGACGCCAGCATGGAGGCAGTCAAAGACGCTTTACCTTGGGCCGGAACAGCAGACCGCTGCGTGGTGGCTTGTGGCTGTGTACTAAGATGCTGAGGGGGATTCCGGACTCCAGCAGTATATTTATACTGGGGAACTGCGCGGGCAGCGGGAGCAGCTGCAGCTATGGGATGTGAAGCCATCATCTGCGTGGATATGCTGGCAGCACGGTGTGTTGACATAATGCGTAGACCCTGGGAGGAAGCTGGTCCAGCAGTACTAAACGATGGAATAGTAGATGGCTGGATGGTGCCAGACAAATTTGGGAATGGATGAGCTCTGGCACCCTGAGCACTCCCACAGGGACCCAGTCCCTGGGGAGCGGTTGGGTGAGGAGCATAGTACGCTCCGCGGTTCTGAGTCTGTGATGTAGTTGTCATGAAGTAAGCTGAAGGAGCCTGCGCTGGCTGGAAAGGGTTTATGACCGGGCTGGATAATGCAGTGGTACTTGCCATCCTTTGAATATACTGATGGCTGAGGTGAGCCTGGCGCTCCTCTTTGCGTTGGGCTAAAGCTACGTAGAGTGGCTTGGTGGCCACAATTCTACCATTCATTTCCGTAACTGCTTTAGTGGCTTCCTCCGGAGAGGAGAAACAGACAAAACCAAACCCTTTGCTGCGGCCGCCCTCCATGGTAACCTTGGCGCTAGTGATGGTGCCAAAGGGCGAAAACTCCTTGCGGAGCCGCTCGTCATCAATGCCGTCGTCGAGGTTTTTCACGTAAAGATTGACCCCTTGGCACCTGGCGCTGCTGCTCTCGTGCGGTGCCTGCTCCACCTTGTGCTTGTCTCGTTTCATCTGTCCGAATTTGTGCTTCAGTTCACTCTGCCGCTCCACTTTCTTCTGAGCCCGGCCAACGTAAATCTGCTTCCCGTTGAGGTCTTTCCCGTTCATCTCGTCCACGGCCTTCCGCGCGTCCTCGTGCCTCTCAAAGCTTACGAATCCGAATCCTTTGGACTTCCCGCTCTCGTCGGTCATGACTTTCACACTTAAGGCGGGCCCAAATTTGCTGAAGAGACCCTGGAGCCGCTCGTCATCCATGTCGTCTCCCAGGTTCTTGATGTATACGTTGGTAAACTCCTTAGCCCTGGCTCCAAGCTCGGCCTGCCTGTCTCTGCGAGACTTAAATCGCCCAACAAACACTTTGCGATCGTTCAGGAACATGCCGTTCATCTTCTCGATGGCGCGCTCGGCCTCCTCCTGCGTCTCGAAGTGCACGAAGCCGTAGCCCTTGGAGCCGTTCTCGTCACACACCACCTTGCACGACAGGATGTTGCCGAAGGCGGAAAACGTGTCGTACAGCGCCTTGCTGTCGATGGATCGGTCCAGGTTTTTCACGAAGATGTTGCCCACTCCGCTCTTGCGCAGCGACGGGTCCCGCTGGGACCACATGATGCGCACCGGCTTGCCCTTGATCACGTCGAAGTTCATGGTGTCCAGGGCCCGCTCGGCGTCCTCCAGCTGCTGGAAGTTGACGGACGCGTAGCCCAGCGAGCGGCGGGTGGTCCTGTCCCTGTAGACGCGGATGGAGAGGATGGGCCCCGCAGGGCTGAACTTCTCATAGAGCATCGCCTCGGTCACGTCTGGGTGCAGGTCCCCCACGTAGAGGGACGCCAACGAGTAGCTGGGGTCGCTGGGGTTCATGTCCACACAAGGCTGGGCGCCGAGCGGACTGGGCCCCCCGGCAGTGCAGGAACAGAAGGCAACCGGAATGGAAAGCGCCTCAACGGCCTGGAACTCGGCGGGATCGGGCGCGGGCGGGTAACTTCCTGTTGGGAGCGAGGCTGCCATGCCTTTAAGAAGCCCAGTCCAGGTGCAAACTGACCTCTGTATGCGAGTTCCGGCCACCAGTGCCTGGTCGGCTCTGTACCCGGTCTCTCATTGTGGAATCAAAAGTATTTGGTGGAGAAGATAGGGAGTTAAGGGTTTCCTATTTTCTTTTCTTTATTTAATTGGTGTGTGTGTATGTGTGTGTGGTGGGGTGAGGGTGGTAATAAAGTTTGCTCTGAGCTTGCAGTGTACATTTACTGTAGTCTGCACGGGATTCAGGGGATGGTAAGGATGCTTTCAAGGAAACTACTCAGCTCCTGAGATCAAGTCACAATGTCTCCAAGAATAACACCATCGAGTATATTCTAGCTCAGCCTAGAATGTTGATAACAGGCGAATCCAAACACAACCGCATGCAAACACACAGAGAGAAGGCAGGGGAGAAGAGGAAAAATCCACTTTGAGGTAGTTTTTCCATTCATATTGCAAAAGAAAACTCAGTTTGATTAATTTTGAGAGCTTAGAAATTAATCAAACTGAGTTAATTGGGGAGCAGAGGGGAGGTAGGGCAGAGGCTGGGAGGGCGGGGGGAGGAGAAACAAGTACTAATAATACTAATAAAATCATTTTTAAAAGAAATTAATCAAACTGGAAGTTCCCATCCCAGTCGGTGCACTATAGCAAATTATCATAGAGTAAAAACCAACTCTTGGGAGTCTAAGATCAAGATGCTAGTAGACTGTGTTCATTTTGTGTGTGTTGGCGTGTATAGGGGGTTCTCTTGAACATAGGTAACAGCCCAATACAAACCCAAGGAGAAGAAATATTTTCTGGATGCTGGTGAGGAAGACAATATTCACCCCATAGCCAAAAACCTCAGCAATTAGATTTCACTATATACATTTTGAGGGAAAAGAAATATTTGGAGCACAGTGGTATCACTCAGCTTGGCTGCTTTACTTATGGGTTTTTTTAAATGCAAATAAAGAACTGGTCTCCTTTTTAATTGTTTCAACTTAGTGCCATCAAAACTATGAAGATCGTGTACCATAGGCACAAACTTCATACTTCAGTCTAATTAAAAAAAAAAAAAACGCATAATTTAGAGAGCTATGAATTGACTCTCTGTTGGCAGATACTTTATTCCGGATGCAACTAATTAGTAATAGGAAGATAGTGGCTTGGGGATATTTATGTTATACGGTAGGGAGGTATAGCTATTAAACTACCAAGGGCATAGCTCTGGGAGAAGGGAGGATGTGTGAAGAGCATCCCACCCTCATGCTAAGCATCTCCTCTGTCCCTTAGTGGGATCATTAATTATTATCATCAGTGCATTTGTGTGTTAATAGATAATGCTTAAGCTTTCCAGAAATACTTTACATGCACAATGGCACAATATGTCTTCAGTGCCACCAGTAACACCACATGTTTCTTAACAAGGAAATGAATTTCTGAGAAGTCAAGGTACTCAAAGAAGGTCACTTTTGCTTGCCAACTATAAATTATAACTTACTGTTCCATTACCCCTAATGATCTTTGCCTGAATGTACATTTTGCTGCCAATTCAATTCATTAAGAAATTGGAATCTCTCAAAAACTACTAAAGTATTATAAAAAGTATAAACTTAATATGTTAACTTATAGCCTATATTTCATCAATATCAGCTGTGCCCAAGGCTATTCACTGCCCCTCCCTCTTGCTTACTGGGCAGCTGCTCCATCGATCACAAAGCCACATACCCAGCCTTAATTATCAGGCTTTATTACATACAGTTCATGTATGTTTCAGAAGCCCTTGTTCCATGCCACCAGGTTTTCAATTGTGAAACTCTCGTCAGTTATAATTTATCAGAAAAAAAAAAAAAGTTGATCTACAGATGTTGTTTGCATGGCTACCTTTTTGTCTCGTAAACTGTATTCTTTGGGTTTTCCTTCTATCCCATGGACCTAACTCAGTCCAGACACCAAAACTTGTAAAATCCCTGATGGAATAAGTAAATAATCTATGCATAAAGAATTGTTGTCACCAAAGGAAGGATCATAGACCAAGCTTGCTAAGAACAAGCTGCCATATAGAATTCACTATGTCAATTTTCTCTTCTAATGAACAACAAAAGAAGTATTTTGGTTCATACAGAGAAAGAACCAAAAACAAACCCCAACAAAAACCCCTCCTAAGCCCAAGGCCAAGGCCAAGCATGCGTTTTCGATTGCTCCATCTGCTCACTGCACTCTGAGGAGTCTGCACACTCCACAGATTCAGTGTGCTCATGTACTCCTCATGTCTCGAGCCAGAGCTGGAGCTGGTCCTGTCTTCATTTTAAACACTTTCATCTTACAGACTGAGAACCTGAAAAAAATCCAAACAGGCCAGCAACATCACCTCTTCTAACATTCCTAAGTGATAAACTGAAGACATTTAGTATGTTGTTTTAGCTAGCTATGTTTTTGAAAAGGAAATAAAATGACTGCATGGAGACAATTATAGTCAAATTAAAGGAGACAGGTATTATATTATTTAAATGTGCAATTTAAAACCACATATTGAGAGTTATGGCCCATTAATGTAAATTATTTCACAGTGAAAAATATCTAATTATCTCTTCCAGATAAGAGATATAAATGTAAATGCTTCAACCCAATCATAATAAACCTGAAGGGTGAAGGGCTGACAATTAGATGCTAAGAATACACCCAAAGTTGAATTGTCTGTGAAATTTGCCTGTATGTCTCTGGTGTGCTATTTCTGGATGGTTTTCTTACAAAACAAGGTAAGAAATATGTATTAGCTTTTTCCCTGTACTGGAACTGCATTTTCATATGAACAATTATTTGGTGTGGTAAGTGATGATATTAATTTTAAAAAATGCTCAGCTATCACGGTTCTTGGCAAAGCACATCTGTATAAATTAGTGCACATAAATTAATGGTAGGGATGTTTCACCTACAGATTCATGTCGGAACTAATAACCTATAGTTAAATGCAAGTAGGATATTGTAGGCTTTAAAATGTGGAAGATTTTAAATACATGCTGAAATGATTCTGTAATGTAAGGAATGTTTCTAAAACCCTTGGAAGTGTACCTGGCCATAAAGATCTGTTTATTGGGTGCATTTTGACTAGGGGGATATGTTGAGTTTTCTACTTAGACAACGCTGAGTTCTGTTGTTAAAGCAGTAACATCCAGAATCAGGAATGCCCAAGCTTTGGTATGCCATTCAGTTATAAAACCATTGATTACCAGAAGAAGAGCCTAAAGGCAGGGCATTCTGATTTGCTTTATTGGTCAAGTTGACACATCCCAGAATCATCTGAGAAGAGTCTCAGTAATGATGGCTACCTTCATTGGTCTGTGGGGAATTGTTTACGTGGGACAATGCAGTCCACTGCAGGCAGCACCATCCCTAGGCCCCAAGCTGTAGAATAGTGAAGAAACTGAATGGAGCAGAAGCAGAGAGGGAGCACATACGCATCAACTTCTCCATGCTCTTGACTGCAGATGTAGAGGGACTGGCTTCTTGAAGCTCCTGATATTGACCCCACATAATAATAAAATGCATCAGGAATGGTGAGCGCCAATAAGCCACTTCTCCCCTTGGTTGCTTTTCCCCCAATGTGTTTTATGAGAGCAATGGAAATGAAGGTAGAATACAATGGCTCCTGCTATCAGAAGAATAGGATAATCCCTTCCACGGGAGAAATTATCTCGCTCACACTTCTAAGGTCAGTTATTCCACGATAACGAACTGGATGACATAACACCACCTTTCACGGGCCTTAGAATTCTTCCACTGACTTCAGTTTCATACAAAGGCCGTGGATCTATTGGGCAGGACCATGCTGCTTCATACATGACTAAATTATGAGAGATCCTTCTGTCAGCAAGAAGAGTGTTGCCTTAGGGTAAGTACGTTCTCAGGACAGATGAGAGAAAACACCACCTCACACTTTACCTGTACAGCTAAACCCAGCATGAAAGGCATGCCCATTGGCCCCATGAAAACTAGAACATGCCGGGGGCAATGGGGATGGAAGCTCAAGTCACTGGGAATTTGGTAATGACATCACTGCCACTTGTACTTCTGGCTAGAGTTCATGGTGCTGGAAGGTACTGTACGAGACAGAAAAGCATCAGCCTTACCCAGCTTTGGACACTGAGAGCTACACCATTGGACTTCCGGGAAGATACGCCAACTCATACAGTTAGGCCATGAGTACTAAGAGTAACCATTCTTTTTTATTATTATTATTAAATAAATTAGATTTAAGGACAGCTCTACTAAATGGGACCCATACCTGACACAGTTAATGAGACTAGATAGATAGTGGACCCTAGTGAAAAAGCTACACGCCGTTATTCTGCTAAGTAGAAACATCAGTACAATGACCCCCTTATGGCATACTGTTATATCCACAGAGCAGCGCATCACTCGGCCCTCATCAGAGAAACTTCTTCTTGCAGTAAATGGTAATGAAGACGAGACTCACAACCGTACAGCACCCAGAGAATGAAAGATCATGGACTGTTCAGCCCTAAATGGGATGCCTACATCACACACCTCCCCAAAGCTCCAGGATGTATGCAGAAGTGGTAGAAAGATTGTAGGAGTCGGAATACATGGATGACGTCACGGAAGCAGCATTTTCCAGAAGCAAGGATAATGACAATACACACAGGATCTGCACAAACTCAATCCAGACAAAATCTGAGCATGGAGGATGGGAAGCGGGGGTCCACCCCTAGATAAGGAGATAGTGGCCTTTGATAGCTGCTGGCAGCAGAACAGTTTCTCTTCAGTGGAGCGATATGTAGGTTAGCAACCACACTCCAGAGCACACACACTTCACTCCATGCCTGTCTGTTTTGAGATAGTGTTAGAACGAGACGCGGG